TGTGCGTCTCACCTCTAGGTCGCCTCAGCCCTCACTGCGTGTGTGTGTGTCTCACCCCTAGGTCGACTCAGCCTTCACTGCGTGTGTGTGTCAAGGTGTGTCTCACCCCTAGGTCGCCTCAGCCCTCACTGCGTGTGCGTGTGTGTCTCACGCCTAGGTTGACTCAGCCCTCACTGTGTGTGTGTCAAGGTGTGTGTGCGTCTCACCTCTAGGTCGACTCAGCCCTCACTGTGTGTGTGTGTCAAGGGGTGTCTCACCCCTAGGTCGCCTCAGCCATCACTGCGTGTGTGTGTGTGTCAAGGTGTGTCTCACCCCTAGGTTGACTCAGCCCTCACTGTGTGTGTGTGTCAAGGTGTGTCTCACCCCTAGGTCGCCTCAGCCCTCACTGTGTGTGTGCGTGTGTGCGTGTGTGTCTGTGTGGGGAGCGGTTAGCGCGCTGCGCTATGAACCTGGCGACCCGGGTTCGATTCCCGCTCACGGCCAACACCAGTGACGATTATCTGAACCGGTCCTGGGCCTCCCCTAGGTCGACTCAGCCTCAAATGAGTACCTGGTGCGGTGTGTAAACATCGCCACTGGGGAGACAAAGGCGGTCGGGCGTGGTGCTGGCCACCCACCCCCTCGTGTGCCGTGCCGGTAGCCTTCATAGGTGCTCGCTAACAGCACTTGCCCCTACAGTCTGTTAAGGCTATACGGGGGATCTTTGTCTTTGTGTGTCTGTGTACCTGTGTGTGTGTGTGTACCTGTGTGTGTACCTGTGTGTGTGTGGGTGTGTCAAGGTGTGTCTCACCCCTCGGTCGCCTCAGCCCTCACTGTGTGTGTGCGTGAGTGTCTGTGTGTACCTGTGTTTACCTGTGTGTGTGTCTGTGTGTGTGTGTGTACCTGTGTGTGTGTGTACCTGTGTGTGTACCTGTGTGTGTGTCTGTGTGTGTGTACCTGTGTGTGCGTGTTTGTACCTGTGTGTGCGTGTGTACCTGTGTGTGTGTGTACCTGTGTGTGTGTGTGTACCTGTGTGTGTGTGTGTGTGTACCTGTGTGTGTGTGTGTGTGTACCTGTGTGTGTGTGTACCTGTGTGTGTGTGTTTGCGTGTGCGTGCGTGTGTGTGTGTCAAGGTGTGTCTCACCCCTAGGTCGCCTCAGCCCTCACTGTGTGTGTGTCTCACCCCTAAGTCGCCTCAGCCCTCACTGTGCGTGTGTCCAGGTTGAGTGTAAGAAGGCGCAGCCCAAGGAAGTGATGTTCCCTCCGGGGTCGATCCGTGGCCGTGCCCGCGCCATCCCCTAGGTCGACTCAGCCCTCAGTGCGTGCATCTGTGTGTGTGTCTGTGTGTGTGTGTGTACCTGTGTGTGTGTACCTGTGTGTGTGTACCTGTGTGTGTGTACCTGTGTGTATGTGTGTGTACCTGTGTGTGTGTACCTGTGTGTGTGTACCTGTGTGTGTGTACCTGTGTGTGTGTCAAGGTGGGAGTGTGTCTCACCCCTAGGTCGCCTCAGCCCTCGCTGTGTGTGTGTCTCACCCCTAGGTCGCCTCAGCCCTCACTGCGTGCGTGCGTGTGTCCAGGTTGAGTGTAAGAAGGCGCAGCCCAAAGAGGTGATGTTCCCTCCGGGGTCGATCCGTGGCCGTGCCCGGGCCATCCCCTAGGTCGACTCAGCCCTCACTGTGTGCGTGTGTGTCTGTGTGTGTACCTGTGTGTGTGTGTGTACCTGTGTGTGTGTGTGTACCTGTGTGTGTGTGTGTACCTGTGTGTGTGTGTGTACCTGTGTGTGTGTACCTGTGTGTGTGTGTACCTGTGTGTGTGTGTGTACCTGTGTGTGTGTACCTGTGTGTGTCAAGGTGTGTCTCACCCCTAGGTCGCCTCAGCCCTCGCTGTGTGTGTGTCTCACCCCTTGGTCGCCTCAGCCCTCACTGCGTGCGTGCGTGTGTCCAGGTTGAGTGTAAGAAGGCGCAGCCCAAGGAGGTGATGTTCCCTCCGGGGTCGATCCGTGGCCGTGCCCGGGCCATCCCCTACGCCATGGATGCCTTCATGCTGGGCATGGGCATGCTGGGTAATGGAGCATGGGCGGGCTCGCACGGCATGCTGGGTAATTGGGCGTAGGTGGGGGGGCTCGCACGGCATGCTGGGAAGTGTAAACTAGAACTTGCTACTGAACGTGGAAAAAAATGAAATTTGAAAGCGAAATGGGGACCAGTTTTAAGACGTTGCAGGCTTTCACGTCCAACGTTATTCAAAATTTTATTTTATATTTTTATTTTATACCTACGTGACTTTAACGCAAGAACCAAAGAGCATTATTCGTAGTAGTAGGTTTTTTTACCCTTTCAACTGGTCAAAAACTGACACCTTTGTACAACAAGGCATCATGTTTGCAATAACCACAACACAAGTAGTCGAAATGCAAACAAAAAGAAACAACTGTGATGATGATGATAATGATATGCACTGTCCTTGAAGTTGATTGGTCCACACCCGAGACAGCTTTCCTTAGAGCCTAGTCTCACATGGTCCTTGAAGTTGATTGGTCCACACCCGAGACAGCTTTCCTTAGAGCCTAGTCTCACATGGTCCTTGAAGTTGATTGGTCCACACCCGAGACAGCTTTCCTTAGAGCCTAGTCTCACATGGTCCTTGAAGTTGATTGGTCCACACCCGAGACAGCTTTCCTTAGAGCCTAGTCTCACATGGTCCTTGAAGTTGATTGGTCCACACCCGAGACAGCTTTCCTTAGAGCCTAGTCTCACATGGTCCTTGAAGTTGATTGGTCCACACCCGAGACAGCTTTCCTTAGAGCCTAGTCGCACATGGTGTTGGACCAGATGACGCCAAAAGGCGTTTGCATTTTGGCTGCTTGTGTTGTGGTTATTGCAAACATGATGCCTTGAATAAAGGTGTCAGTTTTGTACCAGTTGAAAGGGTAAAAACCTACTACTATATGTTGCCGCTGGTAAAGGAGATGTCTCATAGTGTAAATGCTTCACCCCCAGCTCTCAATACTCTGATAGTGCGCTGTGTTTGAGTTGTGCGCCTTTTGGCGTCATCTGGTCCAACACCATGTGAGACTAGGCTCTAAGAAAAGCTGTCTCGGGTGTTGACCAATCAACTTCAAGGACAGTGCATATCATTATCATCATCAGAGCGATTTGAAAAGTTCTCTTGCTTTGTTATTGGTGGTGATTGTGGTGGTGGTGGTGGTGATGGTTGTGGTGGTGGTAGTGGTGGTGATGGTGATGGTGGTGGTTGTGGTGATGGTGGTGGTGATGGTGGTGATGGTGTTTGTGGTGATTGTTGTTGGTGGTGGTGATGGTGTTTGTGGTGATTGTTGTTGGTGGTGGTTGTGGTGGCTGTGGTGGTGGTGGTGGTGGTGGTGGTTGTGGTGGTGATGGTGGTTGTGGTTGTTTTGCTGGTTGTTGTTGGTGGTGGTTGTGATGGTGGTTGTGGTGGTGGAGGTGGTGATGGTGGTGGTTTTTCTGGTTGTTGTGGGTGGTGGTTGTGGTGGTTATGGTGGTGGTTGTGGTGGTTGGAAGGGTGATGGAGGTTGGTGGTGGTGGTGGTTGTTCTGGTTGTTGTTGTTGGTTGTGATGGTGATGGTGGTGGTGGTCGTTGTTGGTTGTGATGGTGATGGTGGTTGTGGTGATGGTGCTGGTTGTGATGATGGTGTTGGTGGTGGTTGTGCTGGTTGTTGTTGTTGGTTGTGATGGTGATGGTGGTTGTGATGGTTGTTGTTGTTGTTGGTTGTGATGGTGATAGTGGTGGTGGTGGTGGTTGTTGTTGTTGGTTGTGATGGTGGTGGTGGTGGTTGTGATGGTGATCGTGGTGGTTGTGGTTGTGATGGTGGTTGTGCTGGTTGTTGGTGATGTTGTGGTTGTGGTGGTGGTGGTTGTTGTTGTTGGTGATGGTGGTTGTGGTGGTTGTGGTTGTGGTGGTGGTGCAGGCTACCCAAGCTTTGCAGCTGCGTACACCGGCCGGGGCTATCCCAGCCTCCCTCCTGCTTACGGATATCACTTCCCCGGTACTCACCACGACACTCACCACGACACTCACCACACTCACCACACTCACCACTACTCACCACTACTCACCACTACTCACCACGACACTCACCACCACACTCACCACTACACTCACCACTACTCACCACTACACTCACCACTACTCACCACTAGTACACTCACCACTACTCACCACTACTCACCACTACTCACCACTACACTCACCACTACTCACCACTAGTACACTCACCACTACTCACCACTACTACACTCACCACTACTCACCACTACACTCACCACTACTCACCACTAGTACACTCACCACTACTCACCACTACTCACCACTACACTCACCACTACTCACCACGACACTCACCACACTCACCACTACTCACCACTACTCACCACTACTCACCACGACACTCACCACGACACTCACCACCACACTCACCACCACACTCACCACTACACTCACCACTACACTCACCACCACACTCACCACCACACTCACCACTACTCACTAGTACACTCACCACTACTCACCACTAGTACACTCACCACTACTCACCACTACACTCACCACCACACTCACCACACTCACCACTACTCACCACTAGTACACTCACCACTACTCACCACTACTACACTCACCACTACTCACCACTACTCACCACTAGTACACTCACCACTACCCACCACTACTACACTCACCACTACTCACCACTACTCACCACTACTCACCACTAGTACACTCACCACTACTCACCACTACTCACCACTAGTACACTCACCACTACTCACCACTACTACACTCACCACTACTCACCACTACACTCACCACTAGTACACTCACCACTACTCACCACTACTCACGACGACACTCACCACTACTCACCACTACTACACTCACATCCCTGGTACTCACCACGACACTCACCCCACCGCTCACCACTCACCACTCACTCACTACTCACCCCACCACTCACCCCACCACTTACCCCACCACTCACCCACTACTCACCCCGCCACACACCCCACCACTCACCGCGACACTCACCCCACCGCTCACTCACCACTCACCCATCGCTCACCCCGCCGTTCACCTCGCCACTGACCCCACCACTCATCCCACCACTCACCCCACCACTCACCCCACCACTCACCCCACCACTCACCCCACCACTCACCCCACCGCTCACCCCACCGCTCACCCCACCGCTCACCCCACCGCTCACCCCACCGCTCACCCCACCGCTCACCCCACCGCTCACCCCACCGCTCACCCCACCGCTCACCCACCACTCGCCCCACCACTCACCCCACCACTCACCCACCACTCACCCCACCACTCACCCACCACTCACCCCACCACTCACCCCACCACTCATCCACCACTCACCCCACCACTCATCCCACCACTCTTTCTCTACCCAGGATTCCCTGCGGCTGCAGCATATGGTCAGGTGACGGCGGCCATGACAGCGCGTGGAGCGGCGGGTAAACAGCTCCTCACCACTACACTCACCACCACTCACCACTACTCACCACTACTCACTACACTCACCACTACACTCACCACCACTCACCACTACACTCACCACTACACTCACTACACTCACCACTACACTCACCACCACTCACCACTACTCACCACACTCACCACTACACTCACCACTACACTCACCACTACACTCACCACTACACTCACCACTACACTCTCCATTACACTCACCACACTCACCACTACACTCACCACTACACTCTCCATTACACTCACCACTACTCACCACACTCACCCCTACACTCACCACTACACTCACCACTACACTCACCACCACTCACCACCACACTCACCACTACTCACCACACTCACCACTACACTCACCACTACACTCACCACTACACTCACCACTCCTCACCACTACACTCACCACTACACTCACCCTGACGCTCACTACACTCACCACTACACTCACCACTACACTCACCACTACACTCACCACTACACTCACCACTACACTCACCACTACACTCACCACTACACTCACCACTACACTCACCACCACTCACCACTACACTCACCACCACACTCACCACTACACTCACCACTACACTCACTACTCCTCACCACTACTCACCTCTACGCTCACCACTACACTCACCACTATGCTCACTACTACGCCCACCACGACACTCACTACACTCACCACTACACTCCTCACCACACACTCACCACTACACTCACCACCACACTCACCACCACACTCACCACTACACTCACCACTACACTCAACACTACGCTCACCACTACACTCACCACTATGCTCACTACTACGCTCACCACGACACTCACTACACTCACCACTACACTCACCACTACTCACCACTACACTCACCCTGACGCTCACCACTACTCACCCTGTCTGTATCTGTCTGTGTCCATCTGTGTGTCTGTCTGTGTGTGTGTCTCTGTGTGTGTGTGTGTCTATCTGCCTGTGTGTGTGTCTCTGTGTGCCTTTGTGTGAGTCTCTGTGTGTGTGTGTCTCCGTGTGTGTGTCTCTGTGTGTCTGTGTGTGTGTCTCTGTGTGTGTATCTCTGTGTGTGTGTATCTGTGTCTATCTGTGTGTGTCTCTGTGTCTCTGTGTGTGTCTTTGTATCTCTGTGTGTATCTCTGTGTGTCTATCTGCCTCTGTGTCTATCTGTCTCTGTGTCTATCTGTGTGTGTCTCTGTGTGTATCTCTGTGTCTCTGTGTGTGTCTCTGTATCTCTGTGTGTATCTCTGTGTGTCTATCTGCCTCTGTGTGTATCTCTGTGTGTCTATCTGCCTCTGTGTCTATCTGTCTCTGTGTGTATCTCTGCATGTGTATCTATCTGCCTCTGTGTGTGTCTATCTGTGTGTGTCTCTGTGTGTATCTATGTGTGTGTATCTATCTATCTGCCTCTGTGTGTCACCCCGCAGCCTTCCCAGACTATGGCTTCTACGCGTCTCCCGGTGACCACCGTGTGTGTGTGTCTGTGTGTGTGTCTGTGTGTCTGTGTGTATGTGTGTGTGTCTGTGTGTCTGTGTGTATGTGTGTATGTGTGTGTGTCTGTGTGTCTGTCTGTGTGTATGTGTGTGTCTGTGTGTATGTATGTGTATCTCTGTCTGTGTCTGTGTATCTATCTGTGTATCTATCTGCCTCTGTGTCTCTCTGTGTGTGTCTCTGTGTGCCTCTGTGTCTCTCTATCTGTATCTCTGTGTGTATCTCTATGTGTGTGTATCTATGTGTGTGTATCTATCTATCTGCCTCTGTGTCACCCCGCAGCCTTCCCCGACTATGGCTTCTACGCGTCTTCCGGTGACCACCGTGTGTGTGTGTGTGTCTGTGTGTGTGTCTGTGTGTATGTGTATCTCTGTCTGTGTCTGTGTGTGTGTATCTATCTGTATATCTATCTGCCTCTGTGTCTATCTGCCTCTGTGTCTATCTGTGTGTGTTTCTGTGTGTGTCTCTGTGTATCTGTGTGTATCTCTGTGTGTCTATCTGCCTCTGTGTCTATCTGTCTCTGTGTCTATCTGTGTGTGTGTCTCTGTGTGTGTCTCTGTGTGTGTCTCTGTCTGTGTCTGTGTGTGTGTATCTATCTGTGTCTCTATCTCCCTCTGTGTGTGTGTCTCTGTCTGTGTCTGTGTGTGTGTATCTATCTGTGTCTCTATCTGCGTGTCTCTGTGTCACCCCGCAGCCTTCCCCGACTACGGCTTCTACGCGTCTCCCGGTGATCACCGTGTGTGTGTGTCTGTGTGTGTGTCTGTGTGTGTGTATGTGTGTATGTGTATCTCTGTCTGTGTCTGTGTGTGTGTATCTATCTGTGTCTCTCTGTCTGCCTCTGTGTCTCTCTATCTGTGTATCTATCTGCCTCTGTGTGTGTATCTGTGTGTATCTCTATGCGTGTGTATCTATCTATCTGCCTCTGTATCTGTGTATATCTCTATCTGTGTATCTATCTGCCTCTGTGTGTGTATCTGTGTGTATCTCTATGCGTGTGTATCTATCTATCTGCCTCTGTATCTGTGTATATCTCTATCTGTGTATCTATCTGCCTCTGTGTCACCCCACAGCCTTCCCCGACTACGGCTTCTACGCGTCTCCCGGTGACCACCGTGCCGGTGCCGCCGCCGCCGCCGCTGCCGCGGCAGCAGCCGCCGCGGCCGCCACGGCCACGGCCACCTTCTCCTACGCCGAGTACGGGGGGGGCGGCGGGGGAGGGGGGGGCGGGGGGGGCCCGGCGATGGGGGGCGGGCGCCCGGCGCTTCACCGCGGCGAGCTCACCGCCGTGGTGCCGCCACCGCCGCACCACCACCACCACCAGCAGCACCACCACCACCACCACCAGCAGCAGCAGCAGCACCACACGGGGCCCGCCGGGTCACCGATGCATCAGCCGCCGCCCAGTAGCCACGACGCGCTCACCAACGCCGGTGAGTGAGAGTGTGTGGTCAGTGAGTGTGTGTGGTGGTGGTGTGTGTGTGAGTGTGTGAGTGAGTGAATGTGGTGTGTGTGTGGTGTGTGAGTGGGTGTGTGGTGGTGTGTGGTGTGTGGTGGTGTGTGTGGTGTGTGAGTGAGTGAATGTGGTGTGTGTGTGGTGTGTGAGTGTGTGTGTGGTGTGTGGTGGTGTGTGGTGTGTGTGTGAGTGTGTGAGTGGGTGTGTGGTGGTGTGTGGTGTGTGTGTGGTGTGTGTGGTGTGTGAGTGAGTGAATGTGGTGTGTGTGTGAGTGGTGTGTGGTGGTGTGTGGTGGTGTGTGGTGTGTGTGTGGTGTGTGAGTGTGTGTGTGGTGTGTGAGTGTGTGTGTGGTGTGTGGTGGTGTGTGGTGTGTGTGTGGTGTGTGTGGTGTGTGAGTGAATGTGGCGGTGGTGGTGGTGTGGTGAATGTGGCGGTGGTGGTGTGTGTGGTGGCGAGCGTGGTGGTGGTGGTGAAGTGTAGTGAAGGTGATCGTGGTGAGTGTGGTGGTGGTGAGTGGGTGGTGGAGGTAAGTGTGGTGGAGGTAGTAGTGAGTGGGTGGTGGTGGTGACTGTGGTGGAGGTGGTGGTGAGTGTGGTGGTGAGTGAGTGAGTATACCACCCCCCCCCACCACTCCCCCCCCCCACAGTGCTGAGTGCGTACGCCGGTCAGCCCGGCTTCGGAGCGCCCCCCTCTCCCGCGGGGCCCGGGGCAGCCCGACCCGGCGGTTTCCCCGGCCCCACCAGCCCGGGTCCCATGGGCGATGTGTACGGGGCAGGCCCCCCGGGGCCCAGCCAGGACGCCGGGGGGGGCGGCTACGTGGGGGCAGGCAGCCCGCAGCCTGCGCAGGCCTTCTCACACAGCCTGGGGGTACGGCACTCACGTGTGTGCGTGTGTTTTATAAACACGCACACTCGTGTACACACACTATACACACACTATATATATACACTATACACACTATATACACACTATACACTATACACACACTCGTACACACACACTATACACAGCCTGTGCAGGCCTTCTCACACAGCCTGGGGGTACGGCACTCACGTGTGTGTGTGTGTGTGTTTATAAACACACGCACACACGTGTACACACTAGTATATACACACGTATACACGCACACACTATACACACACATGTATACACACTATACACACTACACACACACGTGCTATATACACTACACACACCACACACACACAACTATACACTATATACAGCCAGCACAGGCCTTCTCAGCCTAGGGGTACGACACGTGTGTGTGTGTGTGTGTTTATAAACACGCACACGCGTGTACACACACTATACACACTATACACACACTATACACGCACTATATATACACTATACACACTATATACACACACTCGTACACACTATACACAGCCTGTGCAGGCCTTCTCACACAGCCTGGGGGTACGACACGTGTGTGTGTGTGCGTGTGTTTATAAACACGCACACACGTGTACACACACACACTCGTACACACGCACACACTAAACATACTACACACACTATACACTCGTACACACACACGCACACACTCGTACACACACTCGTACACACACACTACACACACACTACACATGTACTATACACACACTACACAGCCAGCGCAGGCCTCACACAGCCTGGGGGTACGCAACGCACACACTCGTATATACACTACACACTCGTGTATATACGTGGGGGCGGGCAGCCCGCAGCCTGCACAGGCCTTTTCTCATAGCCTGGGGGTACGCAACGCACACACACGTGTATATACAAACACACTAGTATATACACTCATGTTCACACACACTATATACACACACTCATATATATACACTATATACACACACTCGTGTATATATACACACTATATAAATCTATATTTACACATGTATATGTACACACACTCATGTACACACTCGGTACACACATGTATGTACACACACACATTCTAGTATGTACACACATACACTCATGTACACGCACACACACACTCGATAGACACACAAAGACAAAGATCCGCCGTGTAGCCTGTAACAGACTGTAGGGGCAAGTGGTGTTAGCAAGAAGCAGCACCTATGAAGGCCGGCACGGCACACGAGGGGGTGGGTGGCCAGCGCCACGCCCAGCCGCCTTTGTCTCCCCAGTGCTAGCGATGTTCACTACACACCGCACCAGGTACTCATTTGAGGCTGAGTCGACCTAGGGGAGGCCCAGGACCGGTTCAGATAATCGTCACTACACCCACCGCTCACCAACACACGCGTACACACACAGACACACTAACATACACACACACAGAGATCCACAGAGACCCATACTCATAGAGACCCACACAGACCCATACAGAGACTCAGACACCCACAGAGACACCCACAGAGACACCCACAGAGACCAGGCGAGGTAGTCAACATCTCACCACGGAGAGACACAGACTCCAAATATACAGCAGGACCCACGACCTCCTGCAGACCAGGCGAGGTAGTCAACATCTCACAGAACCCACAACCTCCTGCGTACCATGCGAGGTAGTCAACATCTCACCTGTAGACCAGGCGAGGTAGTCAACATCTCACCTGTAGACCAGGCGAGGTAGTCAACATCTCACCTGTAGACCAGGCGAGGTAGTCAACATCTCACCTGTAGACCAGGCGAGGTAGTCAACATCTCACCTGTAGACCAGGCAAGGTAGTCAACATCTCACCTGTAGACCAGGCGAGGTAGTCAACATCTCACCTGTAGACCAGGCGAAGTAGTCAACATCTCACAGAAACCCACGACCTCCTGCGTACCAGGCGAGGTAGTTAACATATCACCTGCGTACCAGGCGAGGTAGTCAACATCTCACCACGGGAGAGACACAGACTCCAAATATACAGCAGGACCCACGACATCCTGTAGACCAGGCGAGGTAGTCAACATCTCACCACGGGGAGAGAGACACAGACTTCAAATATACAGCAGGACCCACGACCTCCTGCAGACCATGCGAGGTAGTCAACATCTCACCTGCAGACCAGGTGAGGTAGTCAACATCTCACAGAACCCACGACCTCCTGTAGACCAGGCGAGGTAGTCAACATCTCACCACGGGAGAGACACAGACTCCAACTGCACAGCAGGACCCACGACCTCCTGCGTACCAGGCGAGGTAGTTAACATATCACCTGCGTACCAAGCGAGGTAGTCGACATCTCCCAGCCACCGTGGCCTCCCAGATACTAGGGGGGGTGGGGGGGGGAGGTACGTGGGGTGGGTGGTGGTAGTTGTTGCTCACGGTAACGGCTCTGTCTCCCCCCTTAGGGTCCGCTCATAGCGACGGCTTTTACCAACGGATACCACTAAGAGGTACGGCCGTCCCACCTACCTCTGCCTACCACTACGGGTAGGCGCCTTGCAGCCTCCCCGCTGGGCCCCAAAGTAGACACTGACTCACACAGGCAGATACGCACAGGTAGATACACTGATACACACAGGCATATACACTGATACACACAGGTAGATACACTGATACACACAGGATGATACACACAGGCAGATACACACAGGCAGATACACACAGGTAGATACACTGATACACACAGATACACACAGATAGATACACTGATACACACAGGATTATACACACAGGATGATACACACGGAATGACACACACAGATACACACAGGATGATACACACAGACTGACACACACAGACTGACACACATACTGACACAGACTGACACACACAGACTGACACAGACTGACACACACAGACTGACACACACAGACTGACACACACAGACTGACACAGACTGACACAGGCTGACACACACAGGCTGATACACACAGACTGACACACACAGACTGACACACATACTGACACAGACTGACACACACAGACTGACACAGACTGACACAGACTGACACACACAGACTGATACACACAGACTGACACACACAGACTGACACACATACTGACACAGACTGATACGCACACAGACTGACACACACAGATTGATACACACAGACTGATACACACAGACTGACACACACAGACTGACACACAGGCTGATACACGCAGGCTGACACACGCAGGCTGATACACGCAGACTGATACACGCAGACTGACACATAGACTGATACACGCAGACTGACGCACGCAGACTGACGCACGCAGACTAATACACACAGACTGATGCACACAAACTGATACACACAAACTGATACACACAGACTGATACACACAGACTGGTACACACAGACTGATGCACACAAACTGATACACACAGACTGATACACACAGGATGATACACACAGACTGACACACACAGACTGACACACACAGGCTGACACAGACTGATACACGCAGACTGATACACGCAGACTGATACACGCATACTGACACGCGCATACTGGCATGCGCAGACTGATACGCGCAGACTGATATACGCAGACTGACACACACAGACTGACACACACAGACTGACACACAGACTGACACACAAACTGACACACACAGACTGACACGCACAGACTGACACGCACAGACTGATACGCACAGACTGACACACACAGACTGACACAGACTGACACACAGGCTGACACACACAGGGACTGACTCGCACATTGGTACACACACACTCATCTAACACGGTGCGTGTGCCCGTGCGTGTGTGCAAGTTGTTTTGGTGTATGACACACACACACACTGGTACACACACAGCTCTAACACTGTGTGTGTGCGTGCACATGTGTGTGTGTACGTGTGTGTGTGTGCGCGTGTGTGTGCGCGTGTGCATATGTGTGTGTGCGTGTGTGTACGTGTGTACGTGTCTGTGTGTGCGTGCGCGCGTGTGTGTACGCGTGTGCGTGCGTGTGTGTGCGCGTGTGTCTGCGTACGTGTGTGTGTGCGTGCGTGTGTGCGCGTGTGCGTGTGTGCGTGTGTGTGTGCGTTGCAGGCTGTGTTGGTCTACGATGCGTGGACCCGGGTAGGGGATGAAGAGCCCCACCACCACCACCATCAGCACCACCAGCACCACCACCACCTCGCCGCCACCTCGCCCCATGACATCTTCATCAATGTATAACGCTGACGCTGCAGCAGCAGCAGCAGTAGCCGCAGCAGCAGCAGCAGCAGCAGGAGCAGCAGCAGCAGCAGGAGCAGAACGTCGCGGTCGTCGTGGTCGAACGTCGTCATCGTCGCCACCGCCACGGTCATCACCATCATCACCATCACCGCCATCGTCACCATCACCACCATGAGCATCACCATGAGCATCACCAGCATCATCACCATCGTCACCACCATCATCATCACCATGAGCATCACCAGCATCACCATCACCGCCATGAGCATTATCATCGTCACCATCGTCACCATCACCGCCATCATCACCATGAGCATCACCAGCATCGTCATCACCATCACCACCATCACCATCGTCACCACCGTCACCACCACCATCAACATCACCACCATCACCACCATCATCACCACCATCATCACCATCATCACCACCATCACCACCGCCATCACCGCCATCACCACCACCATCACCACCATCGTCACCACAGTCACCGTCGTTATCAACATCACCAGCATCGTGGCTACCTTTCGTTTTTGTGTCACTAGAAGGGTCACAGTCACACACAGTCACACACACAGTCACACACATTCACACACAGTCACACACACAGTCACACACACAGTCACACACACAGTCACACACAGTCACACACACAGTCACACTTACTCACACACACTCACCCACACTCACACAGACACACACACACAGTCACACACAGAGACACTCAGTTACCCTGCTCACTGTGACGGCTGTCGGCCCTTTCATTTTATTTTTGATTGGTGGGCGGGGAAGGTGTGGGGGGTGGGGGTTGTGGGTGGGTGGGGGGTAGTGGGGGGTACGGTGGGGGGGGTTGTGGTGGGGGGAGGGGAGATGGGGGGGGGGGCTCTGTGTGTGTGTTTGTCCGAGTCCTAGTCGTTGTAGTCTCTAGTAGTGAATAGTGTCGGTAGTGGTAGTAGGTGCTAGTTAGTAGTACTAGTTAGTGATAGTTAGTGTTAGTAGTGGTAGTTAGTTGTCGTTTCTCACGTTCGCCCCCTCCCCTCCCCTCCCTCCCCTCCCTCCCTCCCTCTGTGGCCATCTCTGTCGCTCCGTTCCGTGCCCATCAATCCCTCCTTTGAGGTGTTTTGTGTTCCGTCAACACTTGCTGGGAATCCGTGGTGTGTGTGTGTATGGGTGAGTGTGTGATTGGGTGGGTGGGTGAGTTGGTGGGTGGGTGATTGGGTGGGCGGGTGAGTTAGTGGGTGAGTTAGTGGGTGAGTGAGTGATTAGGTAGGTGAGTGAGTGAGTGATTGGGTGGGTGAGTTAGTGGGTGAGTGAGTGATTAGGTAGGTGGGTGAATTAGTGGGTGAGTGAGTGAGTGATTGGGTGGGTGGTTGAGTCAGTGGGTGGGTGGTTGAGTTCGTGGGTGGGTGAGTTATTGGGTGGCAGAGTGGGTGGGTGAGTTAGTGATTGGGTGGGTGAGTAAGTGGGTGAATAAGTGGGTGGGTGAGTGAGTGATTGGGTGTGTGTGTGTGTGCGTGTGTGTGACACAGCGCTTGCCCCGACAGTCTGTTAGAGGCTACGCGGGGTGTGGAGGAGCGTTGTGGTGGCAGCGGTGGTGGCGGCGGTGGTTGCGGTGGTGGTTGTGGTTGTGGCAGTAGTAGTGGTGGTTGTGGCGGTAGCGTCTAAGTTAAATCCTCACGCGTCCCCTGAAACACTTCCCGAAGCCGTCGGCAATGAGAACCCTGGCAATGGGAGCTCGCTTGTTGGGTGACGTGGAGTGGGGGGAGAGATGGGAGGAGGAGGAGGAGAGGGCGGGGTGGGGGGGGGCAGAGAGAGCCCCCCTCTGTGTGTCTGTCTGTGTGTGTCTCTCTCAAGCTCAGAGACAAACGTGTCGGATGGTGGGGGGGGCGGCGGTGGTGGTGTAGGAGCGACGTTCCTACCCACACAGCCTGTCTCCCCAAGGTATATTAATAATATTGATAACGACGATAATGCTGATGATTATATTAATAATGTTATTGATGACGATGATTTGTAGGCGTGCGTAGTCACGAGTAGATTATCGATTTGACGATGATGACGACGATTTCACGGGATGATTGAGTTTTGCGTGCGTGTGTGTGCGTGTGTGCGTACCCATCACCAGCAATTGTAGCGATTGAAATCAACCCACGCACCCAACACCACCACCACTGGTGGAGCCGGGGGGGGGGGTGGGGTGGGGTGGGGGGTGGGTGGGGGGGGGGCACGTGCCCCCCACAATGATCCGATCAAAATCCCTAATTTCGATCGCATCATTGGGGGTTTGTCGGTAATAAATCGGCATTTTGCGACACCCATTTCCACCACGTAGCATATTGTTATCACGCGCCAGGGACGATGGGACGGTGGTCTTAGTCAACAGTTGGCAATAAGTAGCGGCAAAGCGGTTAGAAGCAGCTCACGGGATCGTGCATCGGCACATTCAGTGAGCGCGGTGGCGGTGACGGTGACAGTTGTGGTGACGGTCGCGGTACAATTGTCACCGCCTTGCTCGCAACTCCTCAGTCTTGATGTCAAGCTTTCGTTACCTGCAGGAATCCGTTCCCTTTGGTTCTTTCGGTTAAAGTCGTGTAGTTAGTGAAAGAGATAATGGATCACGACGTTTTTCGATCGCAGGCTGGCCGGCTGGCTGGCTGGCTGGCCCCCCCACTCACCCACCCACCCACCCTGCCTCCACTAGACCCAGTTTGCAACCAGAACCCGGTCCACGATCATTTCCGCAAAGGGCTTTCATTTCCTTGCTGATTTGCACACTCACTCACTCGCACACTCACTCGCACACTCACTCGCACACTCGCACACTCACTCGCACACCCACTTGCACACTCACCCACTCGCTCGAACACTCACTCACCCACCCACTTATTCACCCACTCATTCACACACCCACTCGCACACCCACTTGCACACTCACCCACTCGCTCGAACACTCACTCACCCACCCACTTATTCACCCACTCATTCACACACCCACTCGCACACCCACTTGCACACTCACCCACTCGCTCGCACACTCACTCACCCACCCACTTATTCACCCACTCATTCACACACCCACTCGCACACCCACCCACCCACTCATTCACACACCCACTCGCCCGCACTCATTCACCCACCCACTCACTGGGTAAGGGGTGTGTGTGTGTATAAGGTGTGTGGGTAAGTGTGTGTAAGGTGTGGGAAGGTGTGTGTGTGTGTGTGTGGAGAGAGTGGAGAGTTTCTCATACCTGGGCAGTGTGCTCACAACCGGCTCCAGTTTGACAGCAGAGGTCTCACTCTGAATCAGTCGAATGGCATTATCTTTTCATTGGTTCTGTAACGCTGTGTGGAAGCTACCTGGTATGTCGCTCCGCACGAAGCTTCGGGTCTTCTCGGCCACAGTTATTCCCTCCCTTCTCTACGCTTGCGAAATGTGGACCCCCCTAATGGAACATCTTCGCCGGTTAGAAACATTTAGGCTGGCCTGCCTACGATCCATCCTGGGTTTAACCAGGCTGGATTGTGTGAGGAGCTCACAAATCCTCGAAAGATCTGGGCAAAGTCCCATCGGTGAGCTCCTCCGGCAGGCAAGGCTGCGTTGGCTGGGTCATGTAGCCCACATGCCCAGCCACCGCATGCCCAAACAGGTTTTGTTCGGCCGGATCGAGGGGGCTAAACGGGCGCGGCACGGGCTAGAGAAGAGATGGAGTGACGTGGTACAGGAGAACGTGGAGCTGAGTGAACTTGCCGATGACTGGTACCAGCGGTGTCAAGATCGGCCTCTGTGGAGGAGGCTCGTGAAGGACGCTGCTACTGGGCAGTTGGAGGCAGTCGCTCACAACAACGAGCGGAACGCCGGGTAGCTAAAGCATAGCAAGTTGGCACAGTAGGGGGCACAGGTGGTGCATCAGCCAGTCGTCTCGGTCAGTCGACCCGTGGCACCTACTGGGTCTGCCCCGTGACCTGCCAGCGGGCGTTCGACACTTCACGTGGCCTCAAGGTGCAAGTAGCCTGGCACAAGCGTCGTGGTGACGTCACCGCCACTTAGTAGCGAATGGCGGTTGTTGTGTGTAGTGTAAGTGTGTGTCTAAGTGTGTGTGTGTGTAAGTGTGTGTGTAAGGTGTGAGTGTATGTAAGCGTGTAGTGTAAGTGTGTGTGTAAGTGAGTGTGTGAGTGTTTGCGTGATGTGTGTGTAAGTGTGTGTTTGTAGTGTGTGTAGTAGTGTGTGTAAGTGTGTGAGTGTTTGTGAGTGTGTGTAAGTAAGGTGTGTTTGTGCGTGTGCTAGTCCTCTCAAAACGTGTCCCCTTCCCCCGCGTGTTTCCACGTTCCACGTTGTTTATTCCTGTTGTTGTTGTTCTCTCTTAGGTAGCGTAAACAATTGTAGTTAATATGTTGACGTCATTGTCGTCGTCGCTGTAGATTATTTCTCGCGTGAGGCGTTTTAACAAAGCGGTTAGGAGATTGTGCGCGTGGTTTATACGCTCGCTCGCCACTCGCTGTGGGGTCGACGCGGTGGTGGCGGTGGTGGTGACGGTGGTAACAGCGGCGGTGGTGGTAGCAATGGCGGTGGTGGTAACAGTGGTGATGATGGTGACGGTGGCGGTGACGGTGGTGGCGATGGTAACGGTGGTGGCGGTGGTGGTAACAGTCGTGGTGATGGTGGTGGTAACAGTGGTGGTAACAGTGGTGGCGGTGGTGGTAACAATGGTGGTGGCGGTAACAGTGGTGGTGGTGGTGCTGACGGTGGTGATAACAGCGGTGGTGGTAACAGCGGTGGTGGTGGTGGTGTTGACGGTGGTGGTGGTGGTAACAGTGGTGGTGGTGGTGTTGACGGTGGTGGTGGTGGTGGTAACAGTGGTGGTGGTGGTGGTGTTGACGGTGGTGGTGGCTCACACAGAGGCTGTGGTCAATGCTCATCGCAGACAGAAGGGGGGTTCCGTGACCCAATTTTTCCTGGGCTTGTGTTTCTAGTTGGCGAGAGGCTTGTGTGACCCCCACTGTGTTCAGACCGAGGTTCTGGTCAATG